ACCTGGAATTGGGTGCGAGTTCCAAGAGCTAACAGCGTACTCTATTCCCACTTCTACAACTTGTCTCGTTATCCAGGAGACACAGTATTTGGTGACTTCATCCTTCCATATCGATGACTCCTTCATTTTCCATCTGGACAAGTGCACGCTTCACAGGATAGTTAGTGCGACAGTTCATTTCCACCCACAGTCGTTCCACCGCATGGTTCTATAGGAAGAAAAATTTGCGCTGATGCTAATTGGCACCACTGTAAAGTCTTTCACTTATTTTGGTCATTACTTACTTGTTTTGACTGTGTCTGTACATAGGGCTGCCTTGTATTGTTGTTTCGATACAGTTTTAGCCTTTCTTCTACAAACAACAGAAGATAAAACTCCTTGCCATGTTCTACTCTAACTTGATCCCAGAGACCGTAATGTAGTAATGTTTCCCTATAACAAAGATAAAGAGCACTTAGAAAATGTTTTCCTTACATTATTGCTATTATAATTGTTATTATTGCAATTGCAGTTATTATTATACAACAAATTAGCTCAGTAACATTGCAGGATGGCATCAAGCCGCCTTAGATTCATTCATCATCGGTATCAAGGACTTACCTAAACACCTCCTGCTAAATAACAAGGTTGTTCTTTAATGGCATAACAGACTTAGCCGTAATAAGTGAACTATAGCCATCAACATCAATAACTTCTGTTACACCGTAGCGAATTAGTTTCTCATTTTGATCAAGGTGGAGTTTATGACCAAAATATTCTGCGTAGTACGGAACTGGATTTAAATGCCACATAGTTGATGTCTGTCGCTCGCGATGATACTGAGGGTTGACTCTTTTGAGTGATTGTCCCACTCTGTTTACTCCAAACCGCAAACCTCTTGAATGTCTGTCATCATCTTCCTTCCATACGTGGTACCAACCTTGTGCGAAACATGAAGGAAGTGTGTCAAGATAATAGCCAGACAAACATTGCAAGCCACTTATATTATACGAGTCCACTGAAACTACGCCAGTGAATTAAACAGTTCATTGTAAATCCGTTCCCATTTCTTCGTTAGAGATGGAAGCGATTGTTTTTTTTTAATATTACCTTGAAAAACAAAAGCAGAGAGATTCATTTTTATAGTCGAATGGTAATGATCTCATGACGTCATTTACTATCACTGTACTACATACAGCGATTAAGCTCGCTGAAAAAAGTTGCTAGCAAAATCATCACTTAGGGCCCGTACGCACTAGGCCGACAAAATTTAAATTGCGTTGAAAATAGCTTTTGAGTTCCTTACTCTACGCAATAATGGACTAGATACCACAGATAATTACCTCGGCAACAGCTGATGAAACAACAGCATCAAGGTCTGCTTTCGATAAGCTTCTATCTCGACTGCGAATGCTGTGTTGTGCGCAAAATCTTCTCACGCTTCTCTCCGATAATCCATTCACTCCAGGGTGAGCCTGTCGCAGTAGAAAGCTTACTTCCTTGTGGCTTTTCTTGTCATTTTCCACAAGTTTACGAAGATAGTTATGGATACCGAGGCTTTGGATCGCCATTCTTGATCGAAAATTCCCGCCAAAATTGAAAATGAGCGTTAACCCCTCCCATATACAGGACTCCCCCTACCCTCCCCCTGCCATTTTGCATAAGGTTATGTACCCCAAAGGCACTTAAATAATACAGGAAACGACAAACCGAAACTCCAAATTTCTTTTTCGTTTATTTGTTTTTGTTTAGGCAAAAAACAGAAAACGATAAAACGGTAGTCGATTTTCGTTTTTCTTTTATTTCTTTTAGTTTAGGCAAAAAACAGAAAATGATAAAACGGAAGTCAATTTTCGTTTTTCGTTTATTTGTTTTAGTTCAGGCAAAAAAAGAAAACGATAAAACGGAGGTCAATCTTCGTTTTTCTATTTAAGCTTGCACATAAAACGAAAAACTGTAAACCAGAAGTTGATTTGTTTTTGGTTTTTTATCCCAATGCAGAAGTAAAGAGATGATTATTTCTAAAATTTTGGCAATTTTTGTAGATTTGACGTTTTTCTTCACATTAATCAGGTAAAGTGGTTTTGATCTCAAATTTAATAAAACGATATGTGTTTCGGGTAAAATCAGGTTCTGTATTGGTATAATGTGGAGTGAAAAACAAAACAAGACTCTACATTGGCTTTGACTGTTGTTCAACATATATTATAAAATTAAAAATAAGGAGTGGACGAACCGTGCACGGACCCTATATACCTGCAGGCAGGCATTGTTATATATATATATATATATAACAATGTTTTTCTACTCAATAGAGTTACATATGGACTTTAATACAGGTCTGTTTCGTAGACCGACAAGGAGTTGGTGCACTCATCAGTTAAATTCCATATACACTGCTGCACCGCTTGAGTCTATATACATAAGGATTGACACTGAACGGGGCTAACATCTCTGGCAGCTAAAAGATCAAAAGAAAGACTTCGCAATCTCCTGGAAAATTCTAGACAAGCCCAAATATTACAGCAATCTTACTAAACGATGTAACCTATGCACTACCGAAAAATTCTATATTCTCTATAAACCAGAAATGGTAACGCTTAACAAACGTAATGAACTCGTATCAACTTGCAGGCATAAGCGAAATTTTCTCCTTAGATTCAACCGCATCCTTAAGAACCAGTCATAGTTTAAATTTTGTATCGATCATGCTGCCTATATATATAAACTCAAGCGATGCTGCAGTGTATATGGAATTTAACTGTTGAGTGCACCAACTCCTTGTCGGTCTACGAAACAGACCTACATTAAAGTCCATATGTAACTTTATTGAGTAGAAAAACATCGTTATTATCGCTCCTTTACTGTTGAGCACTATTCTGGATTTATCAGTATGGAACTTACCAGAAGTTAAATATATATATTTATTATCCAACTACACCTAGACTAGTACATATAACGCCATAGACGAGTACAAATATCACGCGGTATTTGTACTCGTCTATTGTAGTACCGGTGAAACAGGTTTTCTCGCATCGCGCAAGCGAAGAATTGGATTGTAGTTACGAAAACAAAAACAAATGGCGGACAATTTGAATCATGGTTCCGACGAGGAAGAGTCAGAATGGCTGGCAAATATAGATCCAAGTTCATTAGATGAATCGAACGAAGAAAAACAGCTTGACGACCAGAAAATTTATCCATTTAATGAAGAAAATAGAAACAGTAGCACAACAACGCGCCAATTCCGTTCCTCTTCGCATACTTCTGTCACGCACTCCCCGTGAATAAACATCCACGAAGTTCGCCCGCACTAAAACAACAGTTTGGCGTGTCGGATAATAAATAACTTATTAGACGTTTTGTTGTGTAGTATCGCTGAGTATTTTTACTTGTTATTTGTATTTTGACTCGCCCTACGGGCTCGTCAAAATACGGCACAACTCGTAAAAATACTCAGCGATACTACACAACAAAACGTCTAATAAGTTATTTATNTAATGGAGGACAGAACATTCGTCCTTTGGCGCACAGCAGCGAGTGAACTTCACTGAAGACGACTTGACAGCTGATATACCCTACATACTTTACCCCGAAACATTTACAGCAGGGATCTTAGCATGCGAAACAATATCAATTTGATAGTCATTATTAACAATTAATAGGATCAAGATCTCGAGTCTCCTTTGTACAAAAACAAATCCTCATTTCCTTACACTCCGTCTCGTTTGGATGGAACTTGTCCGAAGCAGCACGCGAAGCAAAGGCGTCCTGTTGCGTTTTCCAAAGTCAATAGTCTGGGCAAATGAAGTCTACCACAAGACATTTCGTTGACCGACGTAGACTGAAAGTGAAATGTTGGGAAATTTGAAAAAAAATATTTCCCAATGCATTGCCGAGAAAAAAAACTTTGTTGCTGCATGATTTTTAGCGAGATGTTTTTGAAATTTTTCGTGTTAGGCTGGTGTAGTGGTCTGGCCTTTCAGAGCAGTATTCTGCACTATTATTAGCATTTACTGCGCCTAAATTTTTACCCTCTCATGTATGATGTAAACGCGTCAACACATGGGCTAATTCAGTCCGTTACTGTACGAAAAGAATTCCCACCAAAACCAGTTAGAATTTTGAGTGACTACTTTGTGGTTACATAGTTCAAATTGCTTAAGACTAAAATTTAACTTCTCTAAAAGATGACTAGGGTGGTGAGCTTTGCGAAAAAGGTCGAATCATGTTCACAAGCCCGCCATCGGAAAACCAGAATATTAAATCGTGACGTCTTCAAGGTTTCAATTTCAAACATGATCATGATCAAGAGTTGGCAGCAAACGTCGTCGTGGGGTTAAAAGTTTTACTATCGTCAGCTTCTATTGATGTCTTCTCCTCATATTTTTATGTTGCTCTCATGCGATGAGACCAGCGAGTTGGCGAGATAAAAGGAATCTTGTGCTCTGATCGGCTAGCCGAAAAGGAAAATCAAAACTTGCTCTCTCGTGATTTCCTGCTTTGATCCCGCAAAATGGTAATTTTAGGAGGTTTAATACTTCTTACTGTAGTAGCCAGTCAATTGTTTTTTGCATTTGGTTCATGTTGTACAGATTTTCCAGCAGTGCTGGCTATAACAGAGTCGCCGAGATGTCTTTATGTCGGTCAAAACAAACTGGCTACGACGAGTCTCGCGGATTCATCTGGTAATTTCTTCGTGTCTTTGTTTTCTTATTTTTGTTACTGTCATAGCGTTTTTCATCACACTTAATTTCGTTTTCTAGAAATGTTGGTTGCTTTAGCTATAAATACAACAGGCCATCCATTCTGCTGAGGAAATTGCATAGTACGTGGACTTTTCAGCTGTAAACCAATTGAGAGAAACCAAGGAATTTATCAGGGATGCATACGTGGCATACTCTCGAATCGTTTCACAATAAAGCTGGAATATTCGAATGAAATTGAAACTCCATTTTTTTTTTTTAACGTCTCAGCCTTCAAACTGCTGTCAAAAATTACATAATGAAAACTAAATGTACCTGTCAACTGTCATCCTCTGAATCCGTTTATTCCCCAAAAGATGCCATTTTTTAGTTGTTAATGCCTGAAAGTATCAAAAATAATAAGTTTTAACCCGCTGTAATATCCACTTTTGTTATTAAAATTGTTCTGCTATTATTTATCAAAAGTTATCTTGTACATTCATTTGTTGTTTTTTGTAAGTTTGTTTCCTTTTAAAGTTATTTTTGCATTTTTCTGTGTTACGATGTAGTCATCCTAAGATTTAGACTCAGTTATTTTCCTTTTGGCGGAAAACATCCGCAACATCCTGATTCTCCTCAGAGCAGGACACTCTCCGCCATATAAAACTGAATCGAAAAGAGTGAAGTCAACCCGTGAGTTTTATTATTGTACCAAGAGGACATGTTC